CCAACTGGCCACAGCTGTGCCTACTGCCCACCAGTAGAGACATGTGGAGGCCGTTCCTTACACTCTGTCCTTTTGGCAGCTAGTAATGGGCCTTTGTGCCTTGTGTTGCCTGCTTTGCCATTGGCTTGGGGCAGATCTGTTGGTTTGTGAGGGGGATCCTAGTGGGAACATGGGAACATGGGGTGGGAGCACGGTGTTACAGCTCCTCCTTCAGCAGTCTTCTGGACTTCCAAATTTTGTGTCCTCTTGCCACTTTCCATCTCTGCTCATCTGCTCAATGGGCTGATTTGTGGATGCCAGGGAGGACTTGGACCTGCGGTCAGGGGCTCAGCAGCACGTTGCGAAGTGTGTGGTGCCCAGGACGGCATTCATTTAATCTGTGGGGCAGTTTCAGATTCAGTTTCTCAGGACTCCCTGTCCCCATGGGCTGAGCATGGGGGCTGAGGCTACCATACTTGGAGAAGACAGCCATAGGAAACCTGGTGGGAGGTGGTTCAAGAGGGAAAACATTAATAAAACTACCTCTCACTTTCTGTATTTTCTCAAAACAAACAGTCCCTGCTGGAGCTTCCCTAAAGCCTCCAGTTTCTTTCTCAGGAACGTTACAAACGTCTCTCTCCCTGTCTCTCGAAGCTGTGCCATTTTGGTCTCTGTTCCTAAGATATATCATGATTGGGACCAACAAAAACAGTTGGGAATTTTTGGTAGTTCCTATTTCTGTTTGTTGGGTTTTCCCCAGGCCTGGCTCAAGAAGACTGTCAGAGTAGGGGCGAGTCCCAGAGCAGAGCTCACAGCATTGAAGGAAACTCCAAACCCGACCGGCATTTCCCTTCCCCTGCAGTGGGAAGGAAACGAGGAGGGGCTCACTGGGCTGAGGGTGCAGATCGGGAAAGGGAAGGGAACCTCTGCCACCAGAGCTGCCTCCCTCCTCCCTGGCTTGACTGGGGCTGTCAGGGGTCAGGTGGAGAGTTAGGAAACCTTGCTGGAGGAACCGGGCCGTTGCTCACATGCACCTCAGTGTGCAGGGAGATTTGCCTGGCCTCAAACTGGCAGTAAAACCAGAGGAGCCTTGCTGGAGAAGCACCAGCTCCATGCCTTTAGGCTTCTTCCCGTTATAGGTTTTTATTATTAGACGTTTTGCTGGTTCCCTGTGATTTAGGAATCACTCCCAGAGTTGCTTTCAGTTTGAATTCATCTTCCACTTTTCCTCACATCTCCTATTGTAACTGTTTTGGCTGTGACTTACCTCCCTTACTTCTTCCTTGGAGTCTCTTGCCATGTCCCCCACCCCTCAGGATAATGATATTTAAATTGGCACCTAGTCTTAGAGGAAGCCAGAGCAGTTATCAGTGAAAGGATAATGGATTGCTCTGTAGGCAGAATGTTGAGAAGCAATTGCTGAAGGTGGGATGGAGGCAGAGAGAGAGAGACAGCCTAGAAGCAAAAGGGCAGGTCCCTCAGACATCAGAACATTACACAAGATTTTCAGGAGGAAGTGGGGCGGGGACTGTGTTGAACACCCACAGTGTTCCAGACACATACAGACATAAAATATTTATCATTTAATCCTCAGTTAAAACCCTGTGAAGTAGTGAGATTATCTCCAGTTTATGGATGCGTTCACCAAGGCTCCATAACTCTGAAGAGCCCAAAGTTGATCTTGGGCCCTCTGACTTCACCCACATTTAGTGCCCTCTCCTTTCCAAGACAGCCACTGCCTCCTTTCTGCTCAGCAAGGGTCTCAATGAGGAGTTAGCAAGAACTTAACTCAGCTTCTGCCTTCTTGGAGCCTACAGTCTCTGTGGAACCACTGAAGAAAAAATATCAAGGAAACAAACCCTTTTGACTGAGACCGGAACTGTGTCAAGTTTGCTCCTTTGCTGTCCCCGGAACTCAGGAAGTTGTCATTCCTAAGGGCAGAGTGGCTTCCTCAGGACACTGGAGCCCTGCCAGACTCACACACATTATCAGGTGGAGGCAAAAGCCCTGATGTCCTTGTCTAGCAGGAAGACAACTGTCCGGGCCAGGCTCTGGTTTATGCCCCCTTGGCAGGTGGCTCCCACTGGCAGCCAGTGACACGTTTCTTCTGAGAATGCTGGAGCTTGGGGAAATTCCCCTTACCCATCTCCTTCCCCATCACACTTCAGCCCAGAAGAAGCAGAGAAGTCTGAGACCACTGTCAAGAAAGTGCCACCCAAAGCTCTAGAGAGGAGGATGTGGCTGTGGTCAGAGCAGATTCATGCCTCTACCACCTGTTTCCATAATTTGGGGTCACTCCTTCATGGGGATCTAGAGTTTGACTGGGTCTCTGCTGTGCCTCTTCCATGCTCTTAGGCTGGGACTACCCAAGGGAGTGACTTTGCCCAGTTTTTCAAACCGAGGGGACCAAGTGTTTCCTCCTCAGTTCACCTGGTGGAGAAGTGTAAGCCACAGCAGCTGACAGTGGGTGGCTGAGGGAGGAAGTTGGCATAGACAGGATGCGATGTCTGCCACAGCAGTGCCAGGCTGCCCCCTCCCCCATTCCAGCAGCTTTCTTCCAGGGGAGACAACAGAACTATTTTCATGGCACAGACTTAGGAGAAATGGTCAGATGGCAGCGATGTGTTTAGGATATGCACAGAGCCAGGACCAGTCCTGAGGACTGTTTCTGCTCAGTTCTGTCTTGAGTTCAGCTGGCAGCAGCCTGGCCCCAGTTAGGCTGAGTTAGGAGACCTGCTCTGGGTTGACCTTTGAGTCCTTGTTTTGTTGAGGCCTCTTGCTCCTATCCTGCTGTCCACATGGATATGCTGAGATTGGCCCTTAACAAAGTAGTTTCAGAGAGAACATTCCAGGCTTGTGTTTGACCATCTTGCCATCCATACTACATAGACTGTGAGGACTCAGCCTCACTTTCCTGTGGAAGTTCAGGCAGATGCATGGGGCAGCAGGAACCACAGGGAGAGGTGTGATGTGGGGCTCTCTTCCCCTTCTTTGTTTCTCTCACCTGCCCCACTTTATAAATTCTTCCATGTATAAATTCCAACCGAAGACTTCAACCCTACTTCCTTTTTGAGCCATAGTGACCTCATTTCCAGCTAGTAGCTGGGCTTGTAGCTCAGACCTGGGACCTCTTACACATGGTTTATTATCACCTTACTGCCCCCACTAGATGCATGTTGGGAGCTGGAGATGGTAAGAATAGACATAGCACTTTAGGGGCTAGATGAGTATACAGCTGATTTAAGAGTATATCTGCGTTATGTTTATAATAAATAGTGTGACAGAATAAATGTTTAAGGATTTTCTTTTGATTCCATCAAAAGTTGGAGGACCTCCTTCTAGGATTTGTTTGCTTCTTCTGGAATAATGCAGGGCCTATGTGACTCCTCAGGGACCCTGGATGCACACAGTTCGTGTCCCCAGGGATGAGAATGCCAAGAACTGGGCAGAGGTAAATGAGTGGTCATGCTTGGGTTACCAGAGAGTTAGAGCTGAACTTGGACAGTAGCTAAAGGAGAGAAGGATGAGAGGCAGCCTTCTAGGTGGCTGGCACTATGCTCGGGAAGAAGCTGAATTTGTGGGAAGTCACATGGGTTATCATGCAGCTGCAACACCTCGGGTAGGGGATCATATTTGATTCAAGATTACAAGGGAGCAGGTACAGTGATCTGATTAAAGTGTCAGACTGCCTTTAGTCTTTTTTGTTTGTGTGTTTTGTTTTTTTTGAGATGGAATATTTCTCTGTTGCTTAGGCTGGAGTGCAGTGGCGTGATCTTGGCTCACTGCAGCCTCCACCTCCTAGGTTCAAGCAATTCTTGTGCCTTGGCAACCTGAGTAGCTGGGATTATAGGTGTGCACTACTGCGTCCAGCTAATTTTTGTATTTTTGGTAGAGACGGGATTTTGCTATGTTGGCCAGGTTGGTCTTGAACTCCTGGCCTCAAGTGATCTGCCTGCCTTGGCCTCCCAAAGTGCTGCGATTACAGGTATGAGCTACTGCATCTGGCCCAGACTGCCTTTAGAGGTAAAGGCTGTGACCTGGAACAAAGACAGCCAGACTGATGAGAAGAAAGGTTTGGCTGAATGGGGATAAAGGTAGGGAACGTAGCCTCTAGCATGGGTAGGGCTAGTCCATGGATGAAGTCCTTAGGCTTCACCCACTCATTCTCTCATACCTTATTCAGTCACCAAACAGTGGTGAACAAAATAAAATGATTCCTGGGCTGTCCTTCAAATAGCCTATATTAGAGTGGCTTGCCAAGGGGTTAGGGTGCTTTGCGGTGTCTTAATTAATTGGGAGATGTGTCATTAGTAATTTGCTACTAACAATTAAAGTCTGGTACTTTTGTGAATTTTTGCCTAAATATTTTTTTCCTAAAAAAATTTTAGCAGTTATCTTATGCTAATGTTCTTCTCATTCACTTGTATGCTGATATGGGCAAGAGGGTCACAGTTATAGCATCTACATAGGTTGTGGGTGGCTCAGGATTCACCCATGGGAGTGGGTGTTGTAGGCAAGTTATCTGTCTCTCAGGTTGTGGGGGAAAAGCAAACTGAAAAAAACTGCTGCTTTAACCTGGTGGTTTTTCAAATTTTTTGACCCGTCTCATGTTCCCATCACATTTTATGGTATGATGTATGTATATGACACATTTGTGTATATACATAAAATATAAAAGAAACTAAAGCTTCACAAAGCATTATTTATACTTCCTATTTGCAATGAATTCTGGTATCTTCTATTCTATTTTAATCTGCTCGTTTTCATTTAAAATAGAGTTAATTTTGACTCATTAAACTGATTCTACGACCAGAGGTTTGGAAAACATTGCTCAACCAAACTCAACTAAATATGAAGGGGAGGCTGGAGGACTACTCCACTTTTCCAAGCTTGCCTTATCAGCGATGGAGTGTCAGGGTGAAGTCTGAGGGCCCAGTAGCGGAAAGGTGTGGGCGGTCTAGTCCTTCTGTTTTCCAGATGAGGGGAGGTTTCAGCCTTGTTGACTCAGGTTCTCTCCTCAGAGCTCCATGAACCTGCCTCCAGACAAGGCCCGGCTTCTGCGGCAGTATGACAATGAGAAGAAGTGGGATTTGATCTGTGACCAGGTATGGGGTTTCGGAAAGAGGAGGGAGGTGGGGAGTTGTGCCTTGGGCTAGCTAAGGCTGTGGGGCCAGAGACATTGAGTGCAGCTCTGGGTCCCTTGAGGAACCCTGGCCTAAGCTTGGCCTCATCTGTGTTCACTTTCTTTTCCAAGAAGATTCTCGTAACAGAGACAGAGCTAGCAGGCCAAGTTCTCCTCTAGCTCCCACAAAGAGCTGTCTTGATTTCTTCCAATGGGCAATAGTATAAGGGGGTTTGTATAGATCAGGGGTATAGGATTGGCTATGCAGGTTCAGGGCTATGCCTGGCAGGGTGCTCAAAGGACTGTTGATCTCTCACTCTGTCTTAGCCCTGGCAAATAGCAGTGTCTTTCTCATTATCTCGGGGCCTCTAGGAATGAGAAGCCCCAGGCTCTAGTCTTTTGTTCCAAAATCTCAGAAGAGTCAAGGTCTGAAAACTCTCCCTACATTAACTGTGTTGAAAGCTAGAAGAGAATAGAAATCATTACTTTGCTCAGAGTTGAGAATCTTCTAACACATATGACCTGGCTCTTTCCCTTGCATGCATTTGAAGATCATGAGTCACGAGTCCGTGAACTCAGACAGGCCTGTATGCAGGGCTGGGAGAGTTACCTTTTACCTTTTTACATCTTGGTAGAGATGGAAGTATCTGGCAGTGTGGGTAGTGTGTTTACCCAGCACTTTGCCATGTACAGTTTTATTATTTCTTTTCAGGCTCTGGGTGAAATAATAATAGGTAATGTTTATTGAGTGCTTGTTATGGACCAAGTACTCAACACACTGAAATACCTCATTTAGTCATCACAGAACCCTCTGAGGAAGGCAGTGTTGGCATTTTACAAATGAAGAACCCAAGGCTCAGTAACTTGCCTAATGCTGGTAAGTGATGAAGCCAGGGCTGAGCTCCGGCAAGCAGATGCCAAGTCTGTGCTAACTGTTCTGTTCCACTGCCTCCCCAGGTCATGCTACTTGACATAAGCTAGGAGTATGCTTCAGGGATCTTAGTCCAAGTCCCTTCTCCACCAAAGGTCAATTTCCTTGTGTTCTGCGTTAAGAGGAGTTGGTTAGCACCTGCTTGGGGTTTGGAGAATAGTAACCCTTTGGTATTGAGGTTCTTTAATTGATGATCTCTCAGTCTTTTCTAGGTCAATTTCAGCTGTTTCTCAGACCTTTCGTTTTTTTCTTCTATTTGTTTTTAGGTCCTATTCTCTAACATTATATCATTCTCCTGGACATTTTTCAGCCCCTCCACTCTTCAGATATCCAGCTCTTCAGATATCTTGGTGGTGGCAGCCCTAATAGGACCAGAATGCAAAGGGGTACTCCCTGAGTTTCTTTTTGGGTCAGATGAAGGGGTTGGGCCAAAGTAGGGCGTGGTCCCAGGCTCTGTGTAGAAGGGAATCGAGGGATGACCTTGCTGAACGCAGCCTTCAGTATTTGAGGTTGCTTTGGATTGCTGGGGTCTGGGCAAAGAGCAGTGTTTGCAGCCCTGAGCTGTGTCAGCTCAGCAAAACCATTCCAGTCCCAACCACAGAGTTCATTGCTGAGAAAGTTGGATTCTACAAGGCCAAGCTCCTCTCCCCTTGGCATTCCTAACCCATATCCATTAGTTGGCCAGGCAGTGAACAGCATTTCCCAATCATATCTTTTTTTTCTTTCTTTTCTTAGGGAGGGATCACACTCTGTTGCCCAGGCTAGAGTGCAATGGCATGATCATATCTTACTGTAGCCTCAAACTCCTGGGCTCAAGGGATCCTCCCACCTCAGCCTAAGTAGCCAGGGCTACAGGCATGTGGTAACCACCATGCCTGGCTAATTTTTTAAAGTTTTTTTGTAGAGACAGAGTCTTTCTATGTTATCCAGACTATTCTGAAACTCCTGGCCTCAAGCAGTCTTCCTGCCTTGGCCTCCTAAGCCCAATCAATTATGTCTTTATTTTGGGTGCTACTCACAACTCTGTAATCCTCAATATCTTTGTAGCAAGCAGCACACTTTAAAAATACTTTTTGACATAGAAAAACATTTTAGGCTCAGGGAGCACTAATTGGAGGAGGAGGAGATGGCAACAGATGGCAACACCTGGGGATAAGTCAAGGAAGGTAACCTCAAGTTTAAGTGATGTCTAGAGCCAGGTGACAACTTGAAGAGGCTGAGTCCCCTCACACTGAACACTATGAGTGCTCTTCTTCCTCAGTGCCCTCCTCAGGTCTCTGGTTGTCTTTGTGGATACGCATATGCATGTTTCCCTTACAGGAACGATTCCAGGTGAAGAATCCTCCTCACACTTACATTCAGAAACTCCAGAGCTTCTTGGACCCCAGCGTAACTCGGAAGGTGAAGTATGAGGCAGAGAGGCCCCGTCTTGCCAGCCTTTATAGTCCTGTGGGGTTTGGGGGCAAACCCTTTGACTTGGATATTGGACATCTGTTTCTGAGCCTTGGGGGCTGGATTTCAGGGTTCTGTGGCCAGGGGCCTGGAATGGCTGGCCAGTAATGGAGGGAAAATCTATAACTGCCCTCTTGTATTCTTCTCCTTCTCTACGCTTTTTTACAGAAGTTCAGGAGGAGGGTGCAGGAGTCAACCAAAGTACTAAGAGAGCTGGAGATCTCTCTTCGCACCAACCACATTGGGTGAGTTGGATTGGCCGCAGTAGCCTCTTCACCTGGCCCCAGGCTGTTGGCTGGGCACACAGGATCTGCTGTCCTCTGGGGATGGTGTTCCTGTTCATCTTCCCTGCCATGAGGCAGAGTTGCCCCTTGAATGGCTTCTGGCTCCCCAGAGCTTTGGACTGTTTCTTTTCTGACTTTTCTGCCCCCTCAGCTCTGCCAGCTGCTGACTAGATGTTTCTGGCAAGCTTGAGGCCTCTCCTGGGGTCCTCCGCCTGTGGCTTTGAGTGGAAGACATTCCCACAGCAGTTGAGACTGGAGTCTGCCTGTGGCCTGGTGCTGGGCCAAGCGAGGCCCAGAGAAGGCTGAGGGTGGGGGGAACATACTGTATTGGGTAGCTGAGACCTACTTCCCGTTCTGTGACTATTTGGACTTTTTGGTGCCTGGGAGAAGATAATCTTAGTTCATGAGCAGAAGAAGCTTCCTTAAGCACCAGGAAAGATGTAAGGCAATGGGGGCCAGGAGCTGAATGTTTTCTATATTCACAGACCGTGGTGCTCCCAACCCATTGACAGGGCCCTTAGGAACTGTGTGAGTCTTTTTTTTTCCGGTCCCTGAGTGGGAAACCAGGAATTGCTGAACAAGCAAAAGGCTAATGTGTGAGGTACAGTGAAAGAGGGTATTGGCCTCAGTGTTACGAAACTGTAATCAGCAAAGATATATGAAAGTGAGAGAGAGAGAAAGTGTGTATATGTGTGTGTCTGTGTGCTCATGCAAAAGGACAGTGAGGGACATGTGATGTAGAACTGCAGGCGGGGTTACAGACCTGATGGAGGGCCTGGCACAAATGTCCAGTGCTTATGAGTGAGCAGTGGAGGCCCGGGTGGGGGTGGGGTACCCAGGCTTCCTGACAGTGGGGTAGAGACAGCCAAATGACATCATCAGCCTTTCCCCTCCTGTTGTAGCAGCAGCCCTCATCCACCCCCAGGGCAAGCCTTCCCGGGGTTCTTTAGAGGGAGAGGACACCTGTGTGTGTAGCCAGTTGTAGCAGCAATCACAAGGGAAACAGCACAGGAGAGAACAGGAAAGGGATGGTTCCTGGCCTCAGTAACTGTGCTCTGGTGGCCCGAGTATGGCTTCTGTAACTCATCTGTGAATCAGACATTGAAAGCCAAGCCACTGAGAAAGGTGTGGCCAAGCCTCTTCCTTTGTTTGGTGAATCCTTCATGGAAGGACAAAGTGGCAGGGGCTGCTTGTGTGTGAGGGCAAGAATGACACCAGTGGCAACCCTGAGTGCTACCTGCCACCCGAAGCCACCTATCACTCTGCATTCCTCCATAGTCCCTTCTGTCACTCTCAGCCCTTCTGTCTTCTTTTTGTTTGTTTTTAAAGACAGGGTCTTGCTCTGTTGCCCAGGATGAAGTACAGTGACGTGATCATGACTCACAGAAGCTTCAGCTTCCAGGGCTCAAGTGATCCTCCTATCTCAGCCTCCCAAGTAGCTGGGAACACAGGCACACACCCATGCCTGCCCATTTTATTTTATTTATTTATTTATTTATTTATTTATATTTTGAGACGGAGTCTAGCTCTGTCGCCCAGGCGTGATCTCGGCTCACTGCAACCTCTGCCTCCCAGGCTCAAGCCATTCTGCCTTTGCCTCCTGAATAACTGAGACTACAGGCGTGTGCCACCACACCCAGCTAATGTTTGTATGTTTAGTAGAGACAGGGTTTTGCCATGTTGGCCAGGCTGGTCTCAAACTCGTGGGCTCAAGTGATCTGCCTGTTTTGGCCTTCCAAAGTGCTGAGATTATAGACGTGAGCCACTGTGCCTGGCCTGCCTGTCCATTAAAAAAAATTTTTTTTTAGTAGAGACAGAGTCTAGCTTTGTTGCCTAGGCTGGTCTTGAACTCCTAGGCTCAAGTGATCCTCCTTAAGAATCCCAAAGTGGAGCCACTAGTACCCAGCCTTGTTTTCTTGATTAAGTCTTGCTGTAGTCATCTGAGGATGGGGGTGTGCTTTCATTGGGAGAAGGCCACAGAGCAGTTTATGACAGTCCCTGCTGCCTGCCCCCTCTACCTGGTGCCTGCTGCTCTGGCTGCTGGCCAGGAGCTAGGTCCAAAGCAGCGTGGTTCCCAGGCCTGGGGCCTCTTGGCAGTTGGCACACAAGTTAGAGGTCCTGGACGTGGTCCTTTGTTCCCGGGGAATAGCTCAGTGCCTGGCATTTTAGGCATGCCTGCCATCTGAACTGCAGCTTCTCTGGGTAGAGTTATGTGGAAGGATCCTTCCTGGATTTCTGGGACGCGTTTGTCAGATTGTGGGTGCTTCAGGGTGGAAGGAACCCAGGGCAAGGTGGGGAGAGGAGGATCCTGCTTTGGTCACAACCTGATCAGCCCCAGGGCTTGCAGAAGTTGGGTGTGCAGGAGCAGCAGATGGGAACTCAGGTTCTGGAGAGGGACAGGCTGGGAAGTGGGATTCCGGAGCCTCTCCAGCTCCTCTTTCCCTGGTTTGTATTGGTTTCTGTGCCTTGCCTAAGCACCCTTTAACCTCTCCTCAAAGTGTCAAGATCCCGAAATAGCAGTATAGACTCAGACAGGAAATGAGAAGGGGGTGGGGAGCTGGAGAGCAGACAGACAGGAAACGGGAGGCCTGTTGGCCCCCAGAGAGGAAGCTAACTTCAGGCAGCTCCGGTGTCAGTCAGCTTCAGCCAGAGCCTGCTGCCAAATCTCAGCTGGGCCTGGTGTTGTAGCTCCAGAGTCTCTCCGTAGCTTGGGGTGTGGCTGGCCAACATGGCGCTGGTTTTCCAGCTGTTGGGGAGAAGAGGCCCCGCACGGCAGTTTGGGCAGAGCTTTCCTATAAAGACCCCCAGAAATTCTGAAGGAGTAGAGCACTCTAGATTAGGGTTTCATCCTGAGCGTTTTATGTTTCTGCTATGGAATGAACCTGTCATGTAACAGTTCCCTAGATTTGCCCTTGACTTTCATTCCAGGAATATCTCAGCCCAAAAGGACTGAAAGCAGAAGGGAAAATAATGCCCTGGGATATGGTCCCTAGGTGCTTTGTTGTCTACCTTCCTGGCTGAGGGGGGGCCCACGTCCTCAGGTTGACTCGGAGTGGTCATAGACATCCTGGAGTTCCTCGAGTTCCTGATCACCCCCATGCTTTTTCAGGTTCTGACAAACTCGACATGACTAAATACAGAACTCCTATACATCTCTGTTTGCTCACTGCTTTCCAAAACTCCTCTCCTTAAACTTGGTAGAGAGTGCTTTGCCCCAGGATACTTCTGTTCCAGAGCTCTCCTTGACTCTTCCTGCTGGTGTCTTGACAGGCTTCAGTCAGGTTGGAGACTTGCTGGCTTCAGTCAAGCACAACTCTGCACACGGGCCTGTGGTAAATGCTCTTGATACTTCCTAAGTTCTTCCAACAAACACTGAGCAAGGACATGTGGAGGGATGCAGAAAATAATTGAGCCAGGGTCTGGCCCTTAAAGAGGGAGTACTTGAGAGCTTGTTTGTCTAAAGCACCTTCGTGATAAAGCAAGTGGTATTAGAAGGGCCTGTACTTTCCCCATCCCTGGCTTCCCTGCCTAGGGGAAGTCCATGACCGTGGATGGGTCTGTCATGGGTTTTGATCTTCAGAATTTTCCTAGCCTGGTGCTGGGTTCCAGGAGGAGGAGGTGTTGGATCAGAGGCATGTCACCCTCCTGATCCTTGACCCACTTTAGCAGACCCCTTCCACTGTGTTTCCTTTATCTGCAGGTGGGTACGGGAGTTTCTGAATGATGAAAACAAAGGCCTGGATGTGCTGGTGGATTACCTGTCCTTTGCCCAGTGTTCTGTCATGTGAGTACCACCCTGGGGCTAAGGTTGGGGACCAGTTGGGGGAGGACATAGTTCTATTCTGCTTTGATAAGGAAGGGTGAGAGTTCAACAATGAAGATGGAAATGGGAATCCTGGACAGGAGGGAGTAGCCCAAGCAGTGGTGTGGAAGTAGGCAGGCAAGCCCAGAGATGTCTGGGGATCAGTGAAGAATGGTACTAGGCTGGAGTAGAAGATAAGATGCATTTTGGAGAATAGGAGAGAGAGATGGAAAGGGAGCTTGGAATCAGAAGCCAAGGCATCCAAATGCCAAGCTGTGAGCAATCCAGGGAAATGTCCTGGCTTCTGGTAGAGATGCCTTGGTGGGATCCATTCATCTTTGCAGAGTTGAGTCTTCCAGAAGCAACTTTGGGTTTCCAGACGTGAGAGGGTTATTACTCCAGGTCATTGCTGAAGAACCCAGGAACAGTGAGCATGACCTTTTGACCTGGATAGAAAAATGAAGTATTCAGGAGTCTTTTTCTAGCAGGCATGGGGGCTTGGAGGCAGCCAGAAGTGAGTTAGCACAGAAAAGGTGGCCTGGTATAGTGGAAGGAATGAGAGCTCTTGAGTCAGACAAAGCTGAGTTTGGGTCTCAGTTCTGTTATTTACTATCTGTGTGACTTCAAAGCAAGTTTTTAATCTTCTTCTATGAAAGGAGATCCACATTCCAGGGTTGTTGTGAAAATTAGATGATGACATGTTAAAACACTTAGTATTGTTTGGAACATACTAGGTCTGTATTGTGGTAGCAGATCTACTGTTAATTTCATTATTATTATTTAAAGTGGCATACCCTACCACAATTACCTGAATATATGGAATTACATAATAAACATAATGACCAACACATTTAGACTTATACCTAGGACAGGTCAGCATTAGGGAGACCAGTCTTCCCGGTTTGCCCATGACTGTCCCTAGTTTTCCCCAGCGTCCCAGGAAACTCCTCCATCCTAGGACTCAGCCCTAACATTTTTTTGAGACAGGGTCTTGCTCAGTTGCCCAGGCTGGAGTGCAGTGGCACAGTCTCGGCTCACTGCAGGCTTGACTTCCTGGGCTCAAGCAGTCCTCCTGCCTCAGTCCTGCCTCAGTCCTGCCTCAGTCCTGCTGAGTAGCTGGGACCACAGGTGTACACTACCATGCTTAGCTAACTTTTTGTGTGTTTTTAGTAGGGATGGGGTTTCACCATGCTGCCCAGGCTGGCCTTGAACTCCTGGGCTCAAGCGATCCAGCTTGCCTCGGCCTTCCAAAGTGCTGGGATTGCAGGTGTGAGCCACTGCTCCCAACCAGCTTCCACTTTTCTAACTACTGTCCTTGCCCCCTTGGCCATTCTTCTTTTTCCAGCAGGTCTTCAGAGTCATCTCCTTAGGAATTTGAACTGATGCTTCTTCTACGTTCAGTGCCTCTCTCACCTTTTCCAGGTTATCCTCTGTTAAAGGCAAGAGTGGCCCACTTTCATTCTTGTCTCAGCAGAAGTCATACCTCGTGTGATTGTCCTCTCTCTTAAAAAAATTCTTTTTATAGAAAGAAATGAAAAACATTTGGTGAAATAATTTTTCTTTAAAAATTCAGAGCTTTTATAGTAAAAAATGTAGCTCATTTTTCCAAATAAGCCTATCTCTCTTACTTGAAAAGCAAACAAATTCCAGCCGCCCTAAACCAAGAGTACCCTGGAACCTCAGTATTGTAGTGTCCATGGCAGTACCTTTGACCCTGTTTTTAAAAAAGAAGGACTCTGTGTGGGGGAGAGAGTGTGTGTTTTGGGAAGGATTGAGAGGGAAAGGGTGAGGCCAAATAGAGTTTGAGTGAAGATACTTGTTTGTAAACTGCATATACCAGTACAAGAGGATACAGTGTTGTTGCTGATGGAGTCAGCAAGCTGTTTCCCTGTCAGGAGATTCCTCTGATGTCTACTTGAGAGCCCCATTAAACACCTCCTGATCATGAGGACACTAAAGCCTGCTCCCACTTCCTTTGGAATATTCTGACATCTGTAGATATCCCTTCCTATTCCAGAAAGCCTCAACCTCTGTGCCTTTGACCCCATATCTGAGCAGAATGCTTCTTGGGGGAGAAGAACCTGTAGGAGATGCTCCCTTAGTCTTTAATGACCTACATGGAGGAAGAGGACAAGAAGGAGAGGGACAGTTTCTCAGAGGAGTATATCCTGAAGTGAGGATGTATAAGAGAGGAGTCTCTGTGAGTTTGTGATCTTGGCCGTCTTCCTTGTCCTGGCCACACTGACAAACTGCTGATGGTTGACTGGGCGCAGTGGCTCACATGTAATCCCAGAGCTTTGGGAGGCCAAGATGAGAGATTGCTTGAGCCCAGGAGTTTTAAGACCAGCCTGCACAACATAGCAAGACTCCATCTCTACAAGAAAATCTTAAAAAATTAGTCAGGCATGGTGGCACCCACCTATAGTCCCAGCTACTCGGGAGGCTGAGGCGGGAGGATTGCTTAAGCCCAGGAGTTAGAGGTTACAGTGAGCCACGACTGTGCCACTGCATTCCATCCTGGGCCACAGAGTGAAACCCTTTCTCTAAAAAAAAATAATAATAATTGCTGATGGTGGAAGACATCTGGTTCCAGGATCAGGAAGTGACAAACCATTCAACTCCTGCAGAGGCTAGACTACAGGACCCTGGTCCACAATCTCAACTTATAATTTCTTCCCCCAGGGCAACTGAAGCCCAGGGAGCCTGTATACCTGAAAAACCTAGAAACCTCAAGTAGCCAGAACCATAGAGAACCTGGTCATTAAAGCCCAGTGCTAAGATGGGGCAGTGGTGCTCCTCCAAACAATAAAGGACTGTCCCACTCTGGGTTTGGCAGAACCCCCTTTCCTTTCCATTCAGTCCTGCCATCCACAATCAACTGGACTCCTTCAAGGCACTGAAAGGCCCTTTGGGTGCTGGCATTTGCCAACTAGCAAGACCTGCAATTCGCCCATTCCCCACCATTCCCTCTACGGGGGCAGATTCTTCATGGGGGGGCCACAGCTTCCTAGAGATGTTCCATCTAAGCTGAGAGTGCAGAAAGACTGCCAGCTCCTGAGTGGCCCATGGGGAGGACACTCCTCCTGGAGTTTCCTGGCCAGTGGGGAGCAAAGGAGTTGGCCTCCATCAGCTTCCCATCTCCTTAGACTCCCCTCCTGGTTGCTGCCTGTGCTTCTTCTGCCACTGTTCTGTGTTAGTGGCTCTTCCAGCTAGGATCAGGTCTCTGCTGCCCAGTTCTGCTTTTTCTCCTTGCTACCCCTGCTTCTTGTTGCCCTGGAGGCCTGAAGGGTGGGGGTAGGCTCGCAGGGGGCCTTGGCACTGAATTTCTCCCGCGTATGTGCCTGTGTGTGCGCACGTGTGTCCTTTCATGCTCCAGGTTTGACTTTGAGGGTCTGGAGAGTGGTGACGATGGTGCATTTGACAAACTCCGGTCCTGGAGCAGGTCCATCGAGGACCTGCAGCCACCCAGCGCTCTGTCGGCCCCCTTCACCAACAGCCTCGCTCGCTCTGCGCGCCAGTCTGTGCTCCGGTATGTGTGCTCTTGCTCTGCCCGCCTGCCTCCCACCCTACCCTTCAGTGCAGGTTTCAGGTTCAGCGGTGAGTGCTCATGCTCCTCCCTCCACTCTTGCTTCCAGGCTCAGCTCTCTTGCCTTCTGCCTGCCAGTCTGTCTCTGGTCTGTCCTCTCTGTCTCCTTGACTCTGCCCAGCGGTCTGTCCTGGGTAAGTACATGGTCTCAGCTGCACTCACCCCACATGGGGTTCCAGCTCTCCCCACTCCTAACCCCTCTCTGGGGGGCCCCTTCATTCCTCACTCACACTCTGCCATTCCTCCTGGGTCTCTTGAGCAGGGCACATCTCATACAGGTCCATGGCCTTCACTGGGTGATCCAGCTCCTACCCTCATTCTGTTTCCCTGTAGTTCTTCACTCTGCCCCTTCAGCTGCTTGGAGACCAGCTCCCACCCAACCTGGCTGCCCCTTGCATTCCCTTCACCTCTTCCTTCAGGCCTTTTCTCTCTAAGGTTGCAACGTGCTCATCTGTCTGTCTGCGGTGTCTAGAAAGCTGTCCTGCCTGGAGGTAGGCGGATGGACTGGATGACTTCTCAGAGCCCCTTCCTACTCTGGGAGGCTTCCCTTTGGGTCCAATGGCCCTTTCCTTGGTTTCTATCTCTCTTGTGGCCATGCTTTTCTCCTAGTCTCCTTTGGGTTGTGTCCCTTGGATACTGTTGATTATTCTTGTCATGCATGAGCAGACAGTGTCTCCTCCCTTTTCCATGAAATATCACTGAGAGGGTGGAGGGGTAGTGCAAAGCCAGACACAGCCCTGTGGCCCCACTAAAGCCTTTGGGGGTCGGCTCTGCCTTTTCTGTGATACAGAAGTGGGATGGGAACCACGATGCTCTTGTCTCACAGATTGTGCAGAAAGTGCAGCAACTGGAAGTGGGTGGAGGGAATGCTCAGATGACTGTCTCTGGACCCATCTCAGGGACTAGGAAGGCCTACACAACTACTACTTGTATTTTGAAGGATCTCTAGGTTTGGGGCACTGGTTATAAAGCCGGGATCCTGAGTAGTTGCTGATAAAGGCCTACTTAAGGAGGTGAAAACAGGCTGAACACTCTACCTCCTGCACGCTGTCCCTCTTGGCTGTTAGTACTATTCCCTATTTTTTGCCACTACTAAGGAGCAGCCTGCTCTCTGGGTGATGGTGAGTGCCCCTAGATGCTTCACTGGCAGCCTCAGCTCCCACCTGACTGCCTGGCCCATCTCCCCAGGTATAGCACTCTCCCTGGGCGCAGGGCCCTGAAGAACTCCCGCCTAGTGAGCCAGAAGGATGACGTCCACGTCTGTATCCTTTGTCTCAGAGCCATCATGAATTATCAGGTAAGGGGGAAGCACTAGTCGTGGGTGCTCTACCTCTTCTGCCTCATCTGCAAAACCAGGAGAGCTAGGAGGGCACCAGCTTATAAAAGACAGGTTTGCTGGTGGGCCTATGGTCAAGGAGATCTGCTGGGCTCTCTCTTTCCCACCATCAAGGTCTCCTCCTTCTGTCCTTTCTCTTGTAGTATGGATTCAACCTGGTCATGTCCCACCCCCATGCTGTCAATGAGATTGCACTTAGCCTCAATAACAAGAATCCAAGGTGAGTTCCTTCCCTCCCCTTTCCTCCTCACTCTGTTCAGGGCTCTGGATATCTGTATTCCATGTATTCCTGACAAGTCCTGCCTAGCCTTGGAGTCCTGTCAGAGCCTTGGTTTGGACCCCCTCACCTCTGCTGGAGGAGAAGTATCCCTGGCTCTCCTCTAGTCTATACAGCTTAGTAAAGGAGCAAGCCCGCTTTCTCCCACCCTCTCTCCTCACCACTGAGGCTTTCTCCACTCTCCAAAAGGACTTACCCAGCCAGGGAAGTGAGCTGTGTAGTTGTCAGGATGGGGAGCTAGGGTGTTAATCTTCCTTCTTCACCCCTTAGGACCAAAGCCCTTGTCTTAGAGCTTCTGGCAGCTGTGTGTTTGGTGCGAGGAGGTCACGAAATCATCCTTGCTGCCTTTGACAATTTCAAAGAGGTCAGTCTTTTGGCTTTGCGTGTGTGTGTGTGTTTGCAGGGGAGAAGGCAGGGAGCCAGGTAGGTAAGCACCATTTCCTGTGATCTGCAATGCTTTTTAACATTCCAGTGCTTGGCTAAGCAACCTTTCTCCTGAACTCCCACTGTTTTTAATACCAGAACTTTAGTCTTACTAGATCTTCGGGCCAAGAAACCTCCTGATTGGCCAGCTAAAGATACCCTCAGCTAGCTGAGGGCTATAGTCTAATGGTCCTACTTGGGCCCTGCATCCAGATCACCTAAGGAGCTTGTTAAAAGTACAGATCCCTGTGCTCTAGTTCAGACCCATTAGAGGCCTGAGTATATGTACTTAAGTGACACCCGAGATGGGAATATGATGCGGTGAACCACTGGTAGAACCCAAAGCACATATGTTTGAAATGGGAGGAGAAGGTAAGCAAGGATGTCTCCTGGGTTGTTGGCTGTTACTGGTGAGGAGAGAAGGAACTCCTTTGTGGCATTTGCCCCAGCTCCTGGGCCTGCCTCTGAAACCCGTATCTACTTGAGCACAGGATTCTTCGACATCCAGCCACAGCTGGTGGTCCCACCCCTTCCTCTTCTTTGGACCTCTTCCCTAGCGTCCATTGTTCAAGCCAGGAAATGGCTCTTCCTCCTTGAAGCCCAGAGGCTCAGAGGAGCCTCTAGACCCCTCTCAGAGAGGGCTTTCCTGTACACTGGCCCTTCCTCTGCATCCCCACTAGGACTGCAGCCTCCTGTCTTAGCCATGGCCTTCCTCCCTTCCTCCTTCTTTCCCTCCTCCTTTTAGTAACTTGGCAGCATCACATCCCTGTGTTTCTTCTTGACCTATCCCCAGAGGCACTCAAAGCCCAGCTTAAGGGCACAGGCTTTACTGAATTCCCTCAGCAATTTGGTGGGGGACCATAGACCCAGAGCCAGATTGTAGGTCCCAGTTTTCTTTCTTTTTTGAGATGGAGTCTCACTCTGTGGCCAGGCTGGAGTTCAGTGGCACAATCTCAGCTCGCCACAACTTCCACCTCCCGGGTTCAAGCGATTCTCCTGCCTCTGCCTCCCAAGTAGCTGGGACTACAGGCATATGCCACCATGCCTGGCTAATTTTTGTATTTTTAGTAGAGATGGGGTTTCACCATGTTGCCCAGGCTGTTCTTGAACTCCTCACCTCAGGTGATCTGTCCATCTTGGCCTCGCAAAGTGCTGGGGTTATAGGCATAAGCCACCGCGCCCGGCCCCAGGTTTTCTTTTATAGTGTCCAGAATGCCCTATTTCATATATAGAGTTGTGGTTAAGCTTGGTCTGAACCAGTCCTTTGCCATGATGTTCCTGGGAGCCAGAGCATAGGGGCTTGGGTTCTGCACAGAGCAGATCCTTTCACTGAGAAAGTTTGCTCATTCAGGTATGCAAGGAGCTGCACCGCTTTGAGAAGCTGATGGAATATTTCCGGAATGAGGACAGCAACATTGACTTCATGGTGAGGAACTGGGCCTGGGTCCAGCACCAGGGCTGTGCGTTCCTTGACAACAGGGGTGAGGCCAACAGCGTATCTTGATATTCCATGTAGAGCCCAGAATGATTCTATTCAGCAAATGCTTCTTGTCCACCTGCCCACCCCAGAGAGCTCTTAGAAATTTCAGGACATCATTTGTCTATATCGGATCTATCTCCTTTTCCTCTTTTCTGTGGCCTTTTTGTCCTTGAATTGGATCGTTTTTGAGCTGCCCTCCCTTTCCTAAGCTCTTCCTCTAGCTTCTCTTCCCCTCAATGCAGGGTTTTCGGCTAGGTAAGGTTTCCTTGAGGAATACCTGCTGATGTACAAAGGAAATCAGAGAGCTATATCTTCACTTACATCTGTTTTTCATGTAATTTACTTGTCTTTATACACTGAATATTAAATGACTTTTTAAAAATTAAAATGCTCTTATTGCCCCCATAAAGGCTTAACTCTTTAATTGACTCCCTGTAATTATCCACATGATGATGATATTCTAACAGCCACCTATCCTCCTGGTCTCTTGGCTCTCATCTGCCCTTCCTGTTGCTGCTTCTCTGGGCCTCCTCTTCTTCAGGTGGCCTGCATGCAGTTCATCAACATCGTGGTGCACTCGGTGGAGGACATGAACTTCCGGGTCCACCTGCAGTATGAGTTTACCAAGCTGGGGCTAGAGGAGTTCCTGCAGGTGAGCTGGTTGGGGTCCTTGTAAGGTGAGGTGCATTGGGATCCGTTTAGCCATATCACAAATGATTTTTCTTTTATAAGTGCCTAGTCCTTGATGCTCTTGGGACCCTGCCTGTCTTCTGTGGCCTGGGACTCAGGACCTCTGCAGATAACTCCCCAGTCAGGCCACTCCATGGGGCGAGAATCTGACATGGCCTGCAGCAGGAACTCTTTGGGAAGTGGTGGCGAAGGGGGACGAGGACTAAGTCTTTCTCAGAAAGTTCCCCTGATGATCTGCCTGCTCCTACAACAACTACTACTCTCTGCTCTTCCCCCAGAAGTCAAGGCACACAGAGAGCGAGAAGCTACAGGTGCAGATTCAGGCATATCTAGACAACGTGTTTGACGTCGGGGGTTTGTTGGAGGATGCTGAGACCAAGAATGTAGCCCTGGAGAAGGTGGAAGAGTTGGAGGAGCATGTGTCCCATGTAGGTGGTCTTTCTTTGCCTGCCAGAGCCACTGTTGATGGAAGCTCAAGTTACCAGGAATCCTAAGCTGACCCATTGCCTCCAGATTGAGTCCCAGGGAGGCTTTAGAACCCACCAGGGCTCTCAAGAGCATACTCAGGTCTGAGCCACTGGATCATCCACCAATTGGAACACACACCGACCTCCAGGGCTGGGCATGAGGTGGCATTGGTCTTGAGACAGTCAGAATGTGGCCTTTGTCTTGTATCTGTTATCCCTTGTGTTGAGGGGTTGGACTCAGGTCTTGACTAGGGTTCAGGCTGTGCTGAGTGTCCAGGCTTTAGGGCCAGCACAGAACCTGCCCTTCCTGTTGTGCAGCTCACAGAGAAGCTTCTGGACCTAGAGAATGAAAACATGATGCGGGTGGCAGAGCTAGAGAAGCAGCTGCTGCAGCGGGAGAAGGAACTAGAGAGCATCAAGGTACAAGTACTCTGGGAAGGCAGTCCCTGACTGATCCTGGGCTCCAGGGCCTTGGGGTTTTGCTTTTTTTCCCTGAGTCATATCAAGTTCTTTAGGATTTAGATCTTGATTCACCCTTGAGGTACTCAGGTCTGGGTGGGCTGATGATTTCACCCCATGTTTCTAGTTGGAGAGGAAAGCTGAAGCCAGTGTGAGCCAGACACACACATAAGAGGGTGGGAGCAGCTGGGGCACCCACAGAGTATTCTGGAGTTCCAACCCAGCCTCCTTCTACCAGCCTATCCCATTGATTTTTCTCCCGTCTACCCCCATGTTCCTCCCCAAGCCATGCTTAATGAGCAGGGGCAGAGGGACCAGGTGCTCCGTGTATTAGGATGTCCACCAGGTATCCTAAATTGGCAGGGCAGGTGCTCTTCATATTTCATTCTCTCCTGTATTCTCACCTGACTTTTTGTTCATTATAGTCATGTGCCCATCCTACCTTCTCTTCCAGAAGAATATATGCTGGCTGTGTTGAGCTCAATATGTATCTGCCCAGCTTCTGCTAAGCATTGTATTGGGAGCTATGGAGAATACAGAGGTGGTTAAAACAGGGTCTTGTTTATAGGGGGCTTCCAATTGAGCCATTATACAAGGTCAAGTGAAAGTAAAGCAATGAGGCCCAAAGGGCTATGGAGAGAGCAGCTATTTTAGACCGGTGGTAGATTAAGGAGAGTTTCACAGGGGCAACCTTTTTCCCTGGGCTTTGAGAGGCCATGCAGTGAGAATTGGCTGGAGCAGAGAGGACACTTGAGGGTGCCAGCAGAGGGAGGAGGCAGCTTCTGCTTGCCTCTTTTGTTTTGCTGCCTTCCAGCTTCCCCATTCCCCCACCTGGGCTTCTGCCACTCTGAGCCTCTGAGTACACTCACAGAGACCCTAGTTAAGAGAACCCTGGGTAGGAATTCTCACTCTAGGGGCAATGACTATTCCTTCAGCCCACTTTTCCCTTAATGGTGCTGTCTGCCTGTCAGGAGACATACGAGAACACAAGCCACCAGGTGCATACCCTGCGAAGGCTCATTAAAGAGAAGGAGGAGGCCTTTCAGCGTCGATGCCATTTGGAGCCAAGTGTCCGGGGCCTGGAGTCTGTGGGCAGTGAGGCCCTGGCCAGAGTAGGCCCTGCAGAGCTGAGTGAGGGCATGCCACCCTCCAACCTGGATCTTCTGGCTCCAGCCACACCCCCTGAGGAGGTCCTGCCTCTTCCTCCACCACCAGCTCCGCCCTTGCCCCCTCCACCTCCCCCATTACCAGGTAACCACCACCCCTGGGAACCAGCAGGGGCAGCCTCTTTGTGGGGACCAAAACTGTAGTCAGCAGTGTCTTCCTCAGGGAGAAACTGGGAAAATGGCATCATCTGAGGACTAGGGGGATATAAAATCCGGGTGAGGGAGGGCTGGAATCTGAGAGGAGCTCAAGTTATCAGCACAGGGATGCCCAAAAGCAGATGTGGACCTGTTTTAAGGGTCATAAAGATGTTGCTCCCAATTCCTTTGAAGACAGCCAAGGAGAGGCTTAGACTATAGCCGTAGAAACTGGGTCAGAGACCAGCAACAACTGCCCTGTCAGAGTTAGAATTTCTGGGAGCAGCTTGAGCAGAGTTCATGTAGGCTCCTTCTCTGAGAGTTGTTTTTTTTTTAAACTCTCAGAGAAGGTGGGGCAGGCAGAGGGGAGGGAAGCCTATGAAGAGTCTCTTGACCCCTGGGTCACTGTATCTTCTTTCCCCAGACAAGTGTCCCCCAGCCCCACCTCTCCCTGGTGCTGCACCTTCTGTGGTGTTGACAGTGGGCCTCTCAGGTGAGTGTCCCCAAGGCTCTGGGCAGGGCTGGTGGGACCAGGGGTGTGTGTCCTTGGCCCCTGTGTCACTGATCCTCCTTCCAAATTAGCCATTCGAATTAAGAAACCTATCAAGACCAAGTTCCGGCTGCCTGTCTTCAACTGGACAGCACTGAAACCCAACCAGATCAGTGGCACTGTCTTCAGCGAACTTGATGATGAGAAGATCTTGGAGGTAACAGGGCCTGGCGTCCAGAGGGGTAAGGTTGAGGGCTAGGGACCTGGTTGCCTTTTGAGGAGATCTGGTCTTAGAAAAGCCATCAGACAGGGTGAGGCCAGGCTCAGCTCCACGAACCCTTCGTTCTTGAGTGTATATATATTTCTAGTTGTGTCAACACTTTATTTGTGTTTGTATTCAGGAAATATGCCAGAGTGACAGAGCTCTGGGCCAACGCTGGGTGGGCTGTCAGGAGGTCCTCCACTAGTATGAGGCTACAGCATTTTCCCTGCTCATCTATTCCTGCCAGGACCTGGATCTGGATAAGTTTGAAGAATTATTCAAGACGAAAGCGCAGGGCCCTGCCCTTGACCTCATCTGCTCCAAGAACAAGACAGCGCAAAAAGCTGCCAGCAAGGTGACTCTGTTGGAAGCCAATCGTGCCAAGAACCTGGCCATCACCCTACGCAAGGCTGGCCGCTCGGCTGAGGAGATCTGCAGGGCCATTCACATGTGAGGCTCCCACTGACCTGGGGTTCTCCACGCAGGAGCCTGGGTTTCCCTAGATTCCAGGTCATCTGACAGAACTCCCTCCTATCCCCCTAATCATCCACTGGCTTGGCTTGGCCAGAATTTACTGCATCTGTGCTGGCAGTTCAGCCCAGACCTTCACCCAAGGAGCTCTCAGTCTATTGGGAACAGTGCAGTAACACTGAGTGATACCACCAAGATGGTAGAAGTATACTGGCAGCTTTGGGAGAATATGGAGGTTCATGTAGCTGAGCTTGGTGATGAATGAGGGAAGCCTTCCCACAGGAGGTAATGTCTCAACTGGGACCTGAAGAAAAGATAGGAGTTAGTCCAGTTCAGGGCCTGGAGGGAGAAGCATAGTGCCTTGGGTACTAAAAATGGAATCTGGCTTTAGTGTAGGGAGAGGAGCAGGAGAAGGTAGAGAGTCAGTCAGAAGTCTTGCAGGCTGGGCCTCATAAGCCATGCTCAGGTGTTTGGACTTCACCCTAGGTACAGAGGGAGTACATTAAAGGGCTTATTAAACAGGAGCATGGAATGTTCCCCTAGGATCATTGCTGGTGCTGTGACAGATGAGGCAATGGGTCCTTTGCCTTTGGCTGTGTGCTGTGTACAGTCCCCTGTCCAGTCCTTCTAGGAGCTTGGAAAATAAAAGGGATGAGGGAAAACGTGGAGAGATGGGAGAACTGATGTGGTCCCTTCCGCCTCCACAGGTTTGACTTGCAGACACTACCTGTGGACTTCGTGGAGTGCCTGATGCGCTTCCTGCCCACAGAGGCTGAGGTAAAGCTGCTGCGGCAATATGAGCGTGAGCGGCAGCCCCTGGAGGAGTTGGCAGCTGAGGATCGCTTCATGCTGCTCTTCAGCAAGGTGGAACGGCTGACCCAGCGAATGGCTGGCATGGCCTTCCTGGGGAACTTCCAGGATAACCTGCAGATGCTCACACCGGTACAGCCCCCACCCAACTCATGGTCCTGGACAGCTGTCCCTCCACCCTCCATCTGCTAGTCACCTCCCCTGCCCTTAGTCCTTCTGACCCCTCCCTGTCTTTACCGCATCTCAGCCTGGGGTTACTTCAGTGTTCATATTGTCCTACAGCAACTCAATGCCATCATTGCGGCGTCCGCTTCCGTCAAGTCTTCACAGAAGCTGAAGCAGATGTTGGAGGTGGGAAGAGGTTGTGAACAGGGGTGCTTGGGGTTCTCGGGTCCTAGGTGGGAGCCTGGGGCTATACAGAGAGGAAGAAGGAGCCCTCAGGACCTGAGCCTGACCTGCCTCCCATGCATTCTTTGGACAGATCATACTTGCACTGGGGAACTACATGAACAGCAGCAAGCGGGGAGCTGTGTATGGCTTCAAGCTCCAGAGCCTGGATCTGGTAAGATGGTGAAGGCCAGGAAGCCTGGGGGGCAGCAGTTGTGGAGCCAGTGTGCTTAGCTTTTATGCACTGCCCTGACTCCCTCTCCTAGCTGTTGGATACCAAGTCCACTGACCGGAAGATGACACTGCTTCATTTCATCGCCTTGACAGTGAAGGAGAAATACCCAGACCTGGCTAACTTCTGGCATGAGCTGCACTTTGTTGAGAAGGCTGCAGCAGGTGAGGAGAGCCTGGCTGGGTGGGCCTGCCCTCACATCCAGCCCAGGACAATCCCAGGAAGCTATGAGGAGAGGGAACACTTGGGTCCATTTGTTTCTGGCTTTTGTTATCTTCTTTCTGACCACTTCAAAGCTTTCCGCTGGAGCCTTAAGCAGGGGCCACTCCAGAGGGAGCCTTCCTCCAGGCGCCAGGCCTGGCCCATCCCAGCTCTTCCCAGCTAGGTACAGTGGGAGCAGGAACAGGAAGGGGAGCAGTGACTCTTTACTCCCAACTCCCTCAAGCTGGCCCCAGAGATCTTGCGTTTGTGTATGATGTATGTGAAGTGCTTAGAAAAAGTCATAAAGCCCTCTATAGACATGAGGTAGCTGTTATTTCTGCCCCACCCATGAACACTAGGACAGGCCTGAGGCAGTTTCATTGTGGAGACCAGCAGTCTCTGTGGCTTGCCTGCTTTTGTTTGCTACTGTGTTCTTTGGGGTCACAAGCTCAGTTTCCATTCCATTCCCTCCCCCTGTGAGGGATCAGCTAGCTTGGTGTGTACTTCCTTATGTCCACACAGATATGTGAACCTGAATGAGCCCATGCTGAGGGGGAGGGCCAGAGTTTGATATAGCTCTAGGCTGGGAGGTGGGCATGCCAGGCCCTAGGCATCCTCAGCCAGGCTTTTGGTGACCAGTGTCCCTGGAGAACGTGCTGCTGGACGTGAAGGAGCTGGGCCGGGGCATGGAGCTGATTCGGCGTGAGTGCAGCATCCATGACAACAGTGTCCTCCGGAACTTCCTCAGTACCAATGAAGGCAAACTAGACAAGCTCCAGCGGGACGCCAAGACGGCTGAGGCAAGCACAGGGTGCAGGCGGGTGGGAGCAACCAGGGCCAAGGCTCCAGGCCCCTCTAGGTGGCCCCAGTTCTATTTTTTCTTTTAAATCAAGCAGCTGGCTGTCTATATGTAGGGGGGAGAGCGCGCTTTGGGAGTGGCAGGCAGCTGCCTCTGGAGACTGGTTATTGGGAGCTTTGGGAGCCCCAGGTTCTCTCCAGCTCACAGGGGCCTGGGTGGTTGGTTTTCCTCCCTTTGGCCCTGGGCTTTGCTTTCCGCAGGCCACTCATCCACGGTGTGGGAGCTGGGCTGCCCCTTCCCGCCAGTGACCCGTTCTGCCCACCCCTTCCCCAGGAGGCCTACAATGCAGTTGTGCGCTACTTTGGTGAGAGTCCCAAGACTACACCTCCTTCTGTATTCTTCCCAGTATTTGTCCGATTCATTCGTTCTTACAAGGTAAGCTGCAGATAGCTTTTTAAGAAGTTTGGTTGAGAGAAAACTGGCTGAGGGAGAGAAGCCTGGGTTTAAAGTATGGGCCTTTTCCGACTCCTCCTTTGAGTCCTGGAAAGGGAGCGATGCAAGCTGGCGACAGGCCTCTTAGCTGTGAACTGGTGGGCAGGGTGGGGCCCAGGACCTTCCTGTCATTGTTTGGGGCAGGAAGTGCCCCTCCAGAGGGTGGCCACCTGGAGTTAGCGGGTCTCACTGCCACCCACTCTCCACCTCAGTGTGAGCCCCTCCCCTCACAGCCTGTGAGCCTCACCCCCAGCCCCCACCCATCTTCTATGGCTCTTAGGAAGCAGAACAAGAGAATGAAGCCCGCAAGAAGCAGGAGGAGGTAATGCGGGAGAAGCAGCTGGCTCAGGAAGCCAAGAAACTGGATGCCAAGGTGGGTGGGACCAAGAGCTGGGGCCTGGAAGACGACAAGGCAAAAGAGTGGGGGCTGGGGGTCAGAAGGCTAGGGGAGATGAAAACTTGGAGTGGACAGACCACCCAGAGGGCCAGTGGGCTGGCATCCAGAGGGATGGAGGGAGGGCCTTTGGGGATTCCTAGCAGTGCACAAGCAGTGGCATCCTCAGACTGCACCTTGCGGCAGGAACCAGTCCCACATTAGGTCAGTGATGACTTCCTTCCCCCTCCACATTCTTGGCCCTAGACCCCATCCCAGCGGAACAAGTGGCAACAGCAGGAGTTAATAGCAGAGTTGAGGCGGCGCCAGGCCAAGGAACACCGGCCTGTTTATGAGGGGAAGGATGGTACCATCGAGGACATCATCACAGGTGGGGCCCTTTTTCACTCCCTGGGGCCTGGCCATTGCACCCAGATCCCAAAGCTCAACCTAACTCCTTTGGGCTCTCCTCCCATCCCACCCCCCATGAGGCCTGACCACTGTGTCTCTCTCCTGGGCCACAGTGCTGAAGAGTGTCCCTTTCACGGCCCGTACTGCCAAGCGGGGCTCACGCTTCTTCTGTGATGCAGCCCACCATGATGAGTCAAACTGTTAGCCCCCAAGGCTGGGGCCCGACAGGTACTGGGCACCGCAGCTGCCCCCTCTGCATGCCCATCTCCCAGGATTCCTGCTGGAGACCACAGGCACTTCCTTTCCTGCATGATTTGCAATCACCCTCTGGCAGCCTCCCAGCGATGGGGACACATACTTCTTGCATGCCCCATGCTCTGAGAAGTGTGGCATATCCCCTGCATGTGTCCTTAGGGAAGTGGTCTCTCCCACTAATGCTGTCCTGGCTTCTACTAAGACCCAGTGGGTAGGGAGTCGCCAGGCCAGTGTTGAGGACGGGCCAGAGCAGGCAGGACCAGGCCTACAGTTCTGATCTTTGAGGCTGAGGTTGAGGGTCCATACCCAGGCCTAAGGAACCTTCCCCTAGGGTTCGGTTCTCTTATAAGAGCTCTGGTAGTAGCTTCTGACCAGGAGGTATCAGATGTCCCTTGATCTGTTTCCTGATGTCCAGTCAGCCTGGGGTCTTTTCCTTCTGGCTCTTTCTGAATGCATCTACCTTGTCTCTGTCCACTGCCCAGTGGCCTCTAGTCACCCCCAACCTGATCCACTGAAATGCAAAGCCCAGCAATCTCCCCAGCTGGGTACCCCTCAAACCTCTAAGCCTCCTGTTTATCTGCCTCACCGCTGGCTCCTCCCTGGCCCTACCTGTGGGGCTGCTCCTGAGGGCACTGTCCTGGCTCAGCCTACCATCCTGTTCACAGGTCTCTGTCTTCCCCTACAGGCCTCCACTGCCAGCCTATGGTTGTTCGCCACCAAGCCAGGAGTGCTGCGCCACCCAGTGGTCCCCCTCGGGCTCCAGGCCCCCACTGAGACCCTCTTGGAGGCAGAAGCACTTCAGCCCTCAGAGACCTACAAGTCCAACCAGTGGACCTGGAATTGGCCAAGGGCCCAGGAGAGGGCTGTGTTGCTCTCAACTATATCCACCCCAGCTCTTAAGGCTGGATCTTTCTACTTGTGCCACTATGGGCACTAGGTCTGTAGGTCCCTGGTGCCTCCAGTACTGCACTTTGCCCCCAAGGTCTTTGACTTCGTTTCCTGAAGGGTCACCAAGGGTCAGCTCAAGGCTGGGAAAAACCATGTCCAGCTTTAGCCTAAACAGGGCATGTAGATCTCTCTCCCACTAGAGCCCAGAGGGATGAGAGGAGAGAGCAACTGTCCTTTCTTTTTTTTTCCCTTCCTTTTTGCAGGCCCATGGTCAGCTCTGGTCTAGACGTACCTAGGCTTAGGGAGCCCTGGGACTCTGCCAGTCTCAGTTCATCTCTTACCAGGAGCAAGGCCCTCTGAGGCATGGGCCGTGCCAGCTGTGCCCTAGTGATAAGGGTAAGAGGAAAGATGTCAGACTCACTGCCCTTATTTCTCTGCCCATTTCATTCTAGGCTCACACTGTCCTTGTCAAGGTGGGCAGAAAAGCAGAGGTTTTCTCTGCACCAACCCCTCTCTGCAGATGGCTGGAGAAAGGGTGGGCCAACTCTTCACCTTCTTTCCTCAGCTACGTTTTTTTGTTTGTTTGTTTTTTGGCAGGGGACAAGGAGCATGGTGGTCTTGGCTGACTATTTGCTCACCTTCCTGTTTCTCCTCTGCCCCTGGAAGGGAATGTGGGGGCCCATTTTTTTGTACATGTACCACCTCCTTTTCCTCTTGTACATAAACCTCAGACTCTCCCTCTCTCAACAAAGGCTTGATGCACCAGGCCTGACTTTGTCTCCTGTTTCTGAGCGTAGGGGTTTAGGGTGTCCACTTAGCCCGACCTGGGCCATGGGGACAGAAAAGAAATCTTTGAGGCACTGCATCTTTTTCGGAGATGAGATCAGAACTCTGGGGAAAGGAGAACTGGCTGGGTGGGCTCTAGTCACACAAAGGGAAGCAGGCCTGCCGTGAGACACTAGTGCCCTCTGCTGGGCATGTGTCCAGTCCCCAGCCTGCCCCAGTAGCACATGGAAGAGTCACTGACCATGTTATAAATATTGTTATTTAAAAAACAAAAACAAAACACACGTACATTAGGTCCTGGGTGGAGGAAGAAGTGGTGGAGCCTCAGGACCAGGGCAGGCAGGAGCAGGCACTGATGCTAGAGGGTGACGACCCTGCCCTCTGCCACCCAGGCTGTGCCCATCAGCCTGTCACTCTTCCCTGGAGACCCCTTCTCTCACACTTTTATCTATTGGCATCACCCACCCCACATGGCACATACCACCCATCTCTGGTCTGGGGCTGAGGGCAAGGACTGCACTAGTCCAGGGAGTAGGGGAACCTTGAACACCAACAGCAACCTTGAGAGGTGCCAACAATGGTGTGCTGGGGGTGGGGTTACTTTAGAAAAAGTGGACACAGACCAGACTAAGGAAGAAGTCTGAGGCAGATGGTGAGGGTGGCCCAGGAGCCACGGCCTCACACAGACCCGAGGCAGAGAACAGCTCATCGGGTCACTGGTGATCGTCCAGCTGCTGTAGGAGTGTCCGCCGCCGCCTCTCCAGCTCACCCTCACTCAGCTCACTTTCTGACGTGTCCCAGCCTGTCTGTTGGAGCAAAGGCACAGCTCACCCTTAGCCGGCACTGAGGGCCGTGGAGGCTTGACCAGCGTGCTGACTGGCCTAGGGCCCCTGCCCCTCACCTTCTCCTTCTTGATTCCAAAGCCTGGGGAACGGTTAGGGAGCTCTGCCTGCCGGAGCTCCCTGTCCTTGTCCTGTTCTTGTTCTTTCTCATCGCTCTCCTTGCCAGCTTTCTCCTCAGGGTCTGTCTCACTCTCAGGACTGTTCTGTAAGAGTCCAGAGCCCACCTCCTCAGTACCTGTGGATAGTCTGGGAGTCAGGTAGAACAGAGCTCACAAAATAGCAGGGGCTTAGGTAGAAGTTCCTTCACTCACCGACTTGTGTCTTCTCTTCTTAGTTTTCTTTTTTGGTTTCTTGGCTTTCCGAAGGCCATGATCTGGGGATAGAAAAATCCCTACTAAGTCCCAACAGGAGAAAGGAAGGCTCTTCTTTTTCTTTGTTCTAGCCCGTGTTCATTCTTCACAGGCAGGAACCTCATGCTCTGAGGAATTCCAGTCCGGTTTTCCTTCTCCAGCTTCTTGCCTGGACAGGTAGAGGAAGTTCTTTCTACTCCCACAGGTGCAGCCCTCCTAATCCAGTCTACCCTCAAAGGAGCTGGGGCTTGCGGAGGGCATCCCCTCAGTCTGGGACAACAGTTCTCCAGCTTCTAGGCTCACAGCAACTGCTTACCTGCTCCAAGAAGATGGGAGGAAGGGGAGCCCCGTCCTCCAAGGGCAGCACCCCCACTTTCAACTGAATCAAGTGAGGAAGAGGGCTCAGAGCCTGACTCTGAGGGGTTCCGCCGCCTCCGCTTGGGGGGCCGGAGAGATGGTGGGGGCAGCTCCTCTTCTTCTGACTCAGAGCCCTGGGCAGATCAGCACATACGTATCAGTACAGAGGTTATCTGCCCTCCAGAAGCCCTCATCTGGGAATTCGAGAGAGGAGGAGGATCCAGGGCCAAAGGAATCCTCAAATTTCCCTCCAATGGAGATAATGTAAGGGGAAACCAAAAGTGTTTATTTCCCCAAAACAACCCAGCTTCCCCCACATCCCTTCTACCCGCTTACTCACTGAGGGTGAGTGGGAACGCTTGCGATGGTGCTTCTTGCCTTTCCTGCCATGCTTTCGGCCTTTGGTGTGGAGGTGCTGGCATTCAGTCTGCTAGAGGCAGAGGAAGAAGGGTGAGGACAGCACCAGACTTAGCCCCAGGAAGGACTCTACCTCCTAAAATCTGGCTTTGCCTCCCTTTCTCAGGCTAGAGCCTTCTGCTTATCCCAGGGATCCTTCAGGCCTCCCCTTCCTTAGCTGGCCAGGAGTACCCTAAGGGTAAGAGGGAGGCCACTGAGGTCTCTGTTGAACTGGTCTAAGGAGTTCAAGGGCCTGGGGCAGATCCAGAGGACAAGCCTGCCTCACCTCCAGCACCTGTAGGAATTCCCGGAAGAGCCGGATCCGCTCCGACTCCAGGGTAATCTGCTCAAAGGCTGAGTCACACACAAAACGCTCACGGACCTTGAACGAGGAGAGCACTGCTGATCAGACTAGGCCCCACTCAGCCTGGCCTGGACACCGCCATGAGCACAGGGCAGGGCTGGGGCAGAGAAAGGAAGGGAACTGGAGCTGGCCCAGGGCTGTGACGTGACTGGGGTGGGCCCTCAGTGGTGAAGCACCGCTGCCCTCAGGCTTGAGGGGTGTTTGGGGCCAGGCTACGCTCCTGACCTCTTCCCAGGCAGTGCCTAGCTCCAGAGCAGGCACAGCCTGCCTCAGCATGCTTCGAAAGGCAGCTTCCCTGCGCCGCATCCTGCGTGCCTCCTCCTTCTCCCGCTCCCTCTCCCGTGCCTCTGCTTTCTCCAGCAGCTGAGAAAAGAAGGGACATGGAACAGGGTCACCCAGGAGGGTGGATGCCGGGTCCCACTCAGGCATACCTTAGGAGGTGGAAAGTTAGGGTCTGGGCTTCTACCACCATCCCCTGAATTGGGAATATAGTCGGACAGTGAGTGAGAAGAAATGGAACAAGGCACTGGGATGAATTACAGAACTGAGCCCCATGCCCTGCCCAGCCCCTCACACTATTGAAGGTCAGCTTGATGTTGCCTGCGTCCAGTGCGGCAGCCCTCTTGTCAAAGCTTATGACGTGGGCGAAGTCCTCAAAGGCCGTGTTCACCTCCACACAGAAGCCCCGGTCCTGTGGGCACAGCAGTACATGAAGCAGGGGTACCACGTGCCTTGAGGCCAAAGCTGGCAGGCAGAGTGGTCACACTACAGATGGTCAAGAAGGCCCTTGCCTCCAGAAGAGATCCACAGGACTGTGATATGCATTAGAAACCAAGTTATCCAAGTCCTCATCACTTGACAATTAAGCCCCCATGCCTAGCCTTGGTTTGGATGTCACATGGAGCTGAAGGGGTTGGGAGATGTCTCCCAACTGCTGATTAATGCATGAGTTTCTCAAAATTAACTTTTGTTCCTTTGGCTTAAAGCTCTGGCCCCAGCTGGGCCCTCCTGCTGCTCAGTAGAGCTTCCATGCATTCTCAGTCAACATTTGCTGACCCCTACCCTTTGGCTCTACTTATTGAGTGCTTACTATGTACCAGGTACCACGATGAGTGTTTCACACATTATCTCATTTAATCCTCTTGGTTCTACATTTAAGAATAGGTCCTAGTATCCTAATTTTACACAGAAGGAGAAACCAAGCACTTGCCCAAGGTCTCACAGCTGATGTATAGCTAGGCAAGAACCCTACCCTGGGTCTCTCTATCCCCAAAGTCTGTGCTTTCAAGCACCACACCAACCCAGGTAACTTAGTCCATGGGAGAAATGGAGGCCACCAGGTGTACAGCTCCCCACCAATACTAAAAATATCTCCACGGACCAGGCTCTTGTGCTTCTCATTTAGGCCTCACAACATTCCAGTGAAGCAGAGGCTTAGAAAAGTGATCTCAGTTGGCCCAAGATGACATGAGTGGTAAAGGAAGCCACTAAAGTTCAAAGTCTGGCTCTCACATCAGTTAAGCACAGGTCAGATTCCCTTCCTCTCCCTCCACATAGCTCTCACCTCCCCTGGCCTTTCTGCTGATGGCAGAGGTGTGTTCCTCGCATTGCTTCTTTCCAAGGGTACTTCCTCAACCCTGCCCCAGTCCTTATCAACACAGCATTCATTCTCAGGGAATTGAAAGCTCCAAGTCACCCTCGTCACTGGCTCCTTCCATCAAGGAGACACCTCACCTAACCTGGAACATCCTTTCCACCATGCTGTCCCCTTCATCAAGCTAACTACCTCTGCTGTTTTCCTTTGTTTCAAAACCTCTTGAAATGCAGCAGAAAGGAAAAGGAATAAACATTTATTGAGAACCTATTAGATACTTTACAAATGTTATTTAATTCTCACAACCTTACCTATGAATTATCCAATTTACAGGTGAGCAAACAGGCTCAGAGACATGGAACTTACGGAGATCTCAGAGCCAATAAGCAACCAGGAGTTATCTGACTCTAAAACATGTGTGGTCCCTATGCCGCCTCCATGACACTACTCTCCCAAAGGTTGCTTGTGTCTGCTAGCCAAATCCAAGGCCTCCTTCTTGCTCCTCACTCATCTGGTCCTCAGTGCCTCTACCAATTACTTCTTCAACACTCCCCTCTCCAGGTCGACTCCTCTCTCACCTCTTATTACTTCTCTTGCATATGCATGTTCCTGAGAATAGCACTTAGTCCTCTTTCACTACTCAATTTGTACTCCCTAGCAACCTCATCCTTCATCTCTCCTGATTTTCAAACTCATCCTAGACTGGATATTTCAGACACTTCAAATTCAACAGATCTCAAGAGAATATATTTCTCATGAGCACCCTCCATGGATCTCCCTGACCCAGATCTGTCTGCGTGTTCTAAGTCCAGGGCTCTTTGCATTATCCTATGGGATGAGAGGTACCATTATGGTCTGCCTGGCTGTGGAAAGCAAGAGGGACTCGGCTCATCTGCCCTCCATAGGCAGGAACCCAAATGGGGAAAGAGGAAGAGAACTGTCTAAAAAAGCTGCTTTCTCAGGTGGTGTGGAGAGACAGGACTCAGGATAGGCCCCTACAGGCCTATCAATCAGCCACTCTGGCTAAAAGTTAATTGTCCAATAAAATTTAGCTATCCCAGGATAAGGCATTTCTAGTTTATATGATTATTTTGTTTTAAAATATGATATTTGCTTTGAGAGTAATTCCCCAAATAGAATTCCTATTTTCTACAGCCTTGCTCTTCTTGTTTTATCCTTATCAGTGGTGCCATCATCCACTTCCCTGACACCTCTGATTCCTTCTTTTCCCTCCATTTCACAAAATCTGTCAGTTCTACTTAGTGACTCTATCCCACTGGTTTTAAATTCTCCCCCCCACCCTTTTTTTTTTAAACAGCAGAAACAGTTTATTAACATAGAAATCTTATGTAGAACCTCTATGCATAAAAAAGATTCAAGCTGCCTCACTTGAAAACAGGAAGCAGCACAAAATCCCCCCATACTCAACCCCAACCCTTGCTTGTCTCAAGGCACCTATACAGAAACCCAGAGTGTCTCAGAAGCACAGCTGGAGTGCTATAGCCTGCTCTTTTCTTCTGCTGTCCCCACTGCCCTGGCTAGGATCACTGTCTACCGAGAGTCCTGCACAGCCTACTGACTTTTCTCCTTACTGACCCTCTTCCATCCCTCTAACCCAGCTCCTAGCAGCTAGTGCTTCTTGGACTTTTGTACCAAGTAGCCCCAACAGTAGGAGAGAGGTCTGGGGATAAGTGAGAAGAATATGACTATTTGAATTACCACTATCAGTTTTAGTATTCTGAGGCTTCAAGAACTGCTCTACCTACCACCACAACCTTCCCTAAGGACATAAGGACATACTCTAGACTGAAAGGTTCTACTATACACCATCTAATCTGATCATTCCCTGGTTCCTTATTACTTACGAGAGAAAAATCCAAATTTCTTATTTTGGCATTCAAGGCACTTTACATGCAGGGCTCTACTTCCAAACTGGGGCATATGGTTCCAGAGAAAGAGGATACCTCAGGACAGTATGATATATCTTACCTAATGGTAAGTAATTTAAAATATTAAATTTATATTAAATAGAGAGGTAATATGGTGTCAAAATGCAACACCTACGTGAATTTGTAAGGCAAAACAGTACTTCAAAGAAATAGATGTGCAGTGAGACATTTCTAGCTTTATTTCCAGATCCCTTTCAACCCAGGTACCATTTAATCTCTGTAATTAGGTGTACTCTGGTAGAACACTCACCATTTTTTAGATGAGGAAACAGGGTCAGAAAGGTCAAGTGACCTGTGCAAGGTCACACAACTAGCAAGCAGTTAAGCTAGACTTTTACTGTAGACAGTCTGCCTCCAGTCCTGCTCCTAACCACTGTACTGTATTATCTCCTCAAATGCATTAGAATCTTCACTTCCATAAAGAAATATGCTTTCTCTTTGTTTTTTCTTTTGGAACACAAGTTTAGTCCATCACTCACTCACTTTTCCACTTTTGATAAGATGTAAATATTGAGAACTATTTCTCTTCTCCAGTAGAAGAAAAGCAACAGGCCATGAATGATGGTAAATGGCAGCTGACACTTATGACAGTATCAAGAAGGCACTAAGGAATGGTGAGAAGGATGACTTGCCCTTTCTAAAGTGGCATCTCAACTTGAGTCTGCAGAATGCCTTGCAAATCCAGCTCAATGCTGCTAGATAATCCATATTGACAAGAGAAGCTAAAGATTCAGATTTTTTATGTGACGTTTCCTGGTTTTAAAATGTTAGCAACAAATTCCAAATTTTTTAAAAAACACTGTACAGGCCAGAACAATCTGTGTGCTACCAGTTTACAATTAGCTATGCTTCTTCCTCCTCAGACCTGGCATGCCCTTTCCACCCCCTTGCCTTTGCTCTTAGGACCCTGGGTACACTCCAACCTCTTCCACCTACTGATTTCTAAATGTGCAGTTCAAATGTTAGTTCTTCAGATTCCTGTCTCTGTAGTAACACTTGCCCCTTTGTATAACAGTTCTCATGTATATCTTCCTATTAGACCATGAACTCCTGTGGGTAGAAATTGTGTATTCATTACTGTATCCCTAGTGCACAGTAAAGGATCACAGTAGGTATCTGCTGAACCAAGCTGTAATGCTCCTGCAAAACAGGACTTATCAGGGAGTCCTCTGCAGGGAGTGTGCCCTGCGTCCATCCTGTATCCATCCATAACCCCAGCCTCCCTCACCTTAAGGATGTCCTTAATGATCTTCTTTTCATCATGGAATCGTGCCTTCAACTCCTCCACATAGAACTTGAACAAGTCCAGAGGCGTGGAGCCTGCAAGGAGGGAGGGAGGGGGGCCTGGCGGGCGGCAGCTTCCCAAGGCCTGGGGGCTGCGCCGAGGATAGGACCAGGGAGCAGGGGGTACAGAGAGGCTGGCAGGGCAGGAAGCCAGGCCAGAGAAGGGGGAGCCTGGCTGCCTAGCCTGGCTGCCTTACCCGGCTGGCCCAGCATGTTGGCAAAACGGACATCAGTGCTGACTGCTGGATATAGCTCCATCCAGGTGGACATAGAGTGCAGCTGCCCTGTCTCATGCAGCTCATCCAGGAAGGTCTGAGCAGGGAGAGGCCAGTTATAGGGAGAGTGAGACAAGGAGGGAGGCAGAGCCACAGAATGAGGGGGAAGAGAGGGAATGGCAGAGGAAGAGGCAGGGACAATCAAGATTGAGGAGATGCAGGAAAGAGGCAGAGATGAAGAGATGCAGATGGAAGGCTGAGAACAATGCAAAAGGAGAGAATGTAAATACACAGAGAGGGACAGAACAAAAAAGTGAGAACAAGCCATTCCCGGGAGGCAAAGAAACAGAAACCTGCCTGCAGTAACCCGTAGCACTACCACCCCCACTACCACCCGCAAGGTGGGGGAATAAACTCTGCCTGTCTGGCGCCCCACCAAGGGAAATAAACATGGCCTAGCTGCCAAGTCGTGCCTGTAGGGTGCTCTCTGCTGGCAGTTTCTGGGTGGTGCATACATCTAGTCTCCCTAGAAGAGCACAGTCCAGAATTGAGGGGGTACAGCAGAAACAGACTGCAGGCAGAGAGAGGTCTCATGGAGCTTGGACAGGCTAGGCACATAAAGAACAGGCAGCCTATCCAGAAAGGGGCAGGGAATGGGTGAAGAGGTGCTCTAGGGCAGAGCCGAGCTCTGATCTAGAGAGGACGGCAAAGATACCTGGAAGGCCTCCCGATTCTTGCGTTGTTGGCGTCGCTCCCGAAGCCGGGCCCGCTCCCGTTCCTCCTCCTCTTCCCTCTCCAAAGCTCGAATGTGCTCCTCAAAACAGATCAGTGCATCTTCCTTGTCCATGTCTAAAGACAGGCAGGAGGTTCAGCGGGCACTGTACCAGGAGGACACCCTCTCAGACCCCAGCACCCCTAATGTTTCAACGATGCTGTCCTACAGGTGCTAGGGATACCCAGGGTGGTGGGGGAAGGGCCTGGAGAGGGCTCTGTGGGAGCAGCCACTGGAATGGTGGTTCTTAAGAGGGAATCATTAATTGTATAAGAATAAATGAGCAAGTATTCAGCTCTTGTGAATTCAGTTATTAGAAGCCATAACATGAAACCAGTTGTCTTGGGATCTGACGTTTCACATCTTAGGGAACTGGGAATCAATCAGGCTTTGATGCAATTTTAGAAAGTGAATTTCAGTATCATCAGTGACTACAGGCCAACAACAGTCTATTGTAACATGTGACCACTTGAGGCGTGTAGTGCTATGATGCTTTAAGACCATATTCACATGAGCTAAAACCATCATCAATGACATCTCTAGGACTTAAGATTCCTATCCTAGAGCTCCTCCTCCAAGGACACACAATGTCTAGCCCAACAGTGGACCCCAGAGGCAGGGGTGTCCTGAAACATTCTGGTATCCCCAGAGTCCAGAGAAGTACAAGGAATGGGTGAGTGTTGAGTACTCCTAGGGTGTCCGGGAGGGCAGGAGGTACAGGTGAGTGGGGTGAGGCAGACTCTGGGGTCCCAGGTCCAGTAAGGGAAAGGGATAGCTGGGATTGGAGGCCCAGGCTTACTCTGCAGCTGATGGTCCTGAGCAAAGCTGGGGTTATCCATGAGGTACTGCTGGGCCTGGGACCACGTGGTTTGGAAGTTGACACTACTCATCCCATCCAGAATGCTCTTTAGGGCCTGGATATTGCGGCGCCGGAGCTGCTTGGCCTGTTCCTGGGGAGCCACAGGATCAGGGTGAGGCAGGGCAGGCCAGAGCTACCCAAGTAGGCCTGGGCAGAGGAGGACCTGGGGAAAGGTAGCTAGGGAACCGTAGGAAGAAGGCCATACTCAAGACTTTCATGTCTCAGGGAAGGGGAGGGAGTACAGGTTACAGACCCATCTCTCAGAGACTTCTCCTCACTACACCCAGGACTATAGGCCCAGAGCAGAAATGGGATGTGTAAGTCCCATGCCAGCTTCCAAGTCAGAAGCTGGGACACTGGGGAAGTGGAGAAGTAAATGGCTAGGGTCCATAACAAAGCAAAGACAAGGAAAGTCCAGGATAAGATGGGCTGATGGATCCTGCCCAGCGACCATTACCTTCTCCTTCTTGGCCAGGAAGAAGAGGACATCATCATAAACCTCTTTTCGATCCCTCTCAGGGACCACAGCCCAGACCTCCAGGTCTCCAAAGGTCTGTTCTGCCCGCCTGTAGAGCATATGAGCTGTGAGTAGGTAGACAGAGAACAGAGACCCTGGACCTCTGTGTTCTCAGGGTTCCCAAGCCCCCAGTCCAGCCTGGCCCCCTGACCGGTAGCGGGTGGTGGAGGTCATGCGTTCATGCTGCTCCAGGAAATGCTGCAGGGTCTGCTTGGCCTCCTTGGCCCTTAGACGGGCCTCCTCCTTCTCCTCCTTCTCCCGCTGCGCCTTGTAGGCATTGAATGCCTGCTTTTTCTCACTCAGTTTGGGCAAGGCACTAGGATAAAGGGTAGGAGTGGGATGGGGATAGAGAAGTCACCCTGAACCACCCTGCACAGCCCACACTGGAGGGTCATGAGACACTACAGGCTGCAGCGGCTTCAAGGGCACAGATGTCTGGGATCTGAACACCATTCATGGAGAAGTAGGGGTGACAGGAAGTGAGGGGAAGAGATGCAGCTCCAAGACACTGCAAATACTGGGCCCTTTTGCTTTGGGGTTCTCAAGTCACCCTATCCAGCACCCTCATTCCCCAATTAATTCAATTCAGTTTGATTCAATCCAATAAGCATTTATTGAATGTGTTGTGTCAGATACCTTTCCTTTCCTTCTCCTGGAGGCCCTCCAGCTTTTCTTCCCCTTGCTCCCCAGCCCAATCTATCATTGTCCTGACTCTGGTTCCCTTAGGGCTGAGTGTTGAGCTGGGGTTTCTTAGGAAGTCCCTAGCATAGCAGCTCTCATGAACAGGGCCTGGCTCCCTCTGCCCAGGCCTACCTGTAACGGGGGTCGGTGACCACCATCTTCATGGCCTGTTCCCATGAGGCGTTGGAGGGGACAGCCTGGAATGAAGCAGGTGGGAGTCATGGGGCCTGCCCTGCTCCAGCCCCCTCCAAACCTTCCCTGGGAGCCCCACTCCAGCACCTTGTCCCTCAGCAGTTCCTTGAATGCCTGCTTTGCCTTCTCCCGGTTGCTCCAACTGAGGCCAGACTTCTCTGGTTCTGGCTTTGATTCTTCCTCCTCCTGCTGTGGCTGATGCTGTCCAGAACTGGAGGGCACAGGGGACTCAGCCACAGGGTCCCCCAGCCCTCACAGCTTTCAGTGCCCTGAACTCTTGGCAACCTATCATCTCCTCCTTGTTCCTCAGGGCAGCTTTTTTCTGCCCTTCAGAGGTCACACCCAGATCTTCAAACCCCTCCTGAGAGAGAGGCCCAGCAGAGGACAAGGGTTGAACCAGGCTGGGAGTCTGAGGCCAACATCGGGAATGCCATGGGGGGCAGCCCTCACCTGCTGGGGCCCTCCTCCAGCTGCTGCAGGAACCCCTGTTCCAGGGGCTGGGTGGCCTCCGACACATCACAATCTTCACTCCCACCTGGCTCAGGTTCCAGGAGGCCTGTGGGCACTAGGGTGGGGCCAGGAGGTGCAGGTGGGGGGTCAGGCTGTGGCTGAGGCGGCTGTGGCTGAAGTGTCTGTGGCAGCTGCTGCTGCTGTTTCCTGCAGATGAGCCAGAAGGGCAGTGTCCAGGAGGAGAGCAGGAATGGAGGAGTTCAGGGGCTGGCTGGTCTCTCTATCCTGGGAAAGACTGGGGCCAGAGGGGATGACTCCACAAGGAGACAAAACTGGCTCTTCCTCCCACAGTGTAGAAATCATAGCGAGAGAGTCTATTCCCACACTCCAGGTGCCCCAACTATAAATGGATAGTTGGGCAAGTCACTCACCCTGCAGCTTCTTGTTTGACTAGAACTGCGATGGGAAAAGATAACACAGTCAGTCACAGGGGCAACAGAGAACCTCCAGAACTCCTGACCCGGCCCACTCGTAGGACGTCTCACCCTCTAGGTCATCCAGATCCTTGGGCCGGGTCCAGCGAGACTCTTTACTCTGGTTGTTATAGTAGTAAGGTTTGCCTGTGTCTGACTTGTACTCTTTCCAGGGACATTGCGACAGGAGCAGCTGCAAGAGGATGGGATAGGAGCCATCAGTGGGCTGGGCATGCTCTCCAGCCAGTCAGGGGAGCTAAGGAGACCCAGTGAGTAGAGGACACAGGAACCTTTAGCTACCACCTGGCCTGGCTCAAACTGGGGAAGGTGGACTTCTTGAGATCCTATGGAGATATTTCCAGGGAGGGTGGGGAGTGGTCAGGGACCCTGGACCTTGGGATCAGAGGAACCATCATGAGTATGGTTAGAGACTAAGGGAAGGCCAAAGACTTGGAAGGGTCAGGGCAGCTGAAAGGAAGGGCCAGAAAGCCCAGCTCAGGACCTCTGCCTTGGACTTGAGCACGCTGGGCTTCTCCCACACGGACTGCTTGTCGTCAGCATTGTAGTAGTAGATGCGCCCATCTGGGGCCACATGCTCACTCCATAGGGCCCT